AACAGTTTCTGTTGCTGTCCATCAGTCTAAAGGTTTACCTTTGCTGTGTCCAAACTTTTTCGGATCTGCGCTACATCCTGGAGGTTGGTCACTATAGCTGATGAATCCAAAGCTCGGCTCCTACAAAAGGTGCACAAATAAAGCCTTCATCATCCACTCAAAGTTGACAGATCCTACAGTTCTACATTTTGGTTGAAAAAGTCCACTCTAGGCAGCTGGACATAAGGTTTTCTACAAGACGTTTCTCCTTTCCTCCAAGAGGCTTCTTCAGTTCTCACTAGTGGTGGGCAGCACTGAGATTAATTTACTCTGAGTGGAACAAAGAATTAGGGGGAAAATAAGGTGTCTTTGATCCCTACTACTGCATTGGCCATGGAGGTCAACTGGGAGGTGTTAATGGTCGTTAGGGGCCTCTGATAGGTTGTTAACTCTAATCAGAATATTTCCAGTCATATGCCGCATTGAAGTGTGAGTCAGGTGGGGGCAGGTGAGAGGAGAATCTTGTTGGTATGTTGAGTTGTCTGTCTTCCATGATGTGAAGTGTACAATATAGGGTGTCCTTTAGCCTTCAGGTGCAGGTGAACAGTTGAGTCCTGTCCCGAGGAGCCGGCCCTCCTGTGTTGAGCCATACGCCTGTGTAGCGGTTGCTTGGCTCCAGTGAAAAGGTCTGTGCACTCTTCACTACAGTGATTGGCGTAAACCACGTTGTCGGTCTTGTTTCTGAGTGTCTTATCTTTTGGGTGAACCATTTTTTGTCTCATGGTGTTGCTGGGTTCGAAGTGCACAGGGATCCGGTGCTGGTTGAAAATCCTGCTGAGTTTTTCAGAGACTCCAGGAACATATGGCATGTACTTATATAGCGCCTTTATTCAAGTTAGGAGACTTGACCAAAGCGCTTTAAACTACATTCATTCACCCATTCACGCACACACTGATGGTGGCAAGCTACATTGTAGCCACAGGTGCCCTGGGGCTCACTGACAGAAGCGGGGCTGCCGTACACTGGCGCCACCGGGCCCTCTGACCACCATCAGTAGACAATGCAGGTGAAGTGTCTTGCCCAAGGACACAACGACACTGAAAGTCGGAATCGGGGCTTGAACTGCAACCCTTCGATTTCAGGGCAAACTCCTACATCCAACGCCACTGTCGCTCCACATAGGTAATGATGATGTTCCTTTTTCTGTTCTCTTCCTTCTTAGCAGACTTCTTCTTGTTGGTTTGAAAAAAACCCATCTGGGAATAACCAGAGTTTTTCAGGGAAGTTCCAATGTGTCCCTGTTCTCTCATCTTCCTTCTGTTGGTGGTGGGAATGGTTTCTGCTCATCTCTGAAGGGTTCTGATGACGCCTAGTTTGTGTTCCAGTGGATGGTGTGAGTCAAAGCGGAGGTACTGGTCAGTGTCTTTGGATTTCCTGTAGACTTCTATGTTGAGTTGTCTGTCTTCCATTATGTGAAGTGTGCAGTATAGGAAAGCAAGGCTGCTATCTTTCACATCTTCCTGGGTAAACTGGATGTTTCATCACAGTCGATGTGTTCTGTAAATATGTTGATATCCTTGATCTTTATTTTGATCCATGTGTCATCGACGCATCTCAACCAGTGACTGAGTTTTGTTTCCTGCCCTGCTTTCCAATTCTTCCATGTATAAGTTCGCCACTATGGGAGACACAGGAGAGACCATCACATCCATGTTTCTGCATGTAGAAATCTTGTTTGAATTGGAAGTATGTGGTGGTGAGGAACAAGTCCAAGAGATAAAAGATGCGGTCAGTCGTCAGATTGGTCCTGTCTACCAGAGTGTGCTCTTGAAATAAATGCATCCTTACAGTGGGGACTGCTTCTTTGATAGGGATGCAAGTAAGAATAGATGTGACATCATGGGAGACCATCAGAGCCCCCTAAAGACCATTACCCCCATGATTGACCTCATTGGTCAATCCAGTAGGAGGGATC